TCTAGATAAGTTCAGTTTAAGCCCGTTGCTTTAAAAAATATTTTTAACAGATATTTAGATTCAGGGAACTGAATACTCCTCACCCTATATAAGGGCTAGAACCCCCTGCACACAGACCCAAAATGGCCAAAGGCAAATCTCCATGATTTAAGATCTGCCCCTCTTGCGATACACTGCCCATCAATGACAGCAATTCAAAGTGCCTCTTATACTTAGGAAAGGGGCATGTGCCTGACCGTTGTTCAATGTGCAAGATGTTCTGAAATTACACTCTGAAGGGTAGAGAAGGGAGAATGAAGATTCATTTCCTGGAGACATCTATGCAAGCATCATATGATCCTGACAAACAACCAGCCAGTCACACTCCTCTTGTGCCTTGAACTGTGGTGTCATCCTGAGGGACTTGTGCCCCTCTTCTCCACCTTCAACGCAGGAGAGAGGCCATAAGGTGCACTACTCCAGAGATCAGGGAAGACTCAGATCTTCCCTCCGCAGCAGGAAGTGTAAACTTTCTCCGAAGGCTCCAACATACTACAGCCTCAAGACTAAGTCTTGCCCAATCTCTAAGACAAAACTGGAACTGACAGTCACTTAACACAGTAAGCATTGTGATGCTTCTGGTGCACTCAGGTGCTGACCCTTCTCTGGCACCGTGCACACCAGGACATTCCTCAATGCCCCCTGTTGGGTACAATGACCTTATCAATTAATGAAGGGCTCCTAGAACCAGCAAATTTGATATGGGTGCACTCCTGCTTCCATCCTCATTGCCTCTATGTGTACTGTTAGGAGATACCAGCATCCCATCCTGGGGTATCTGGTTGTCCAGGCCATCCAGTAGAGATTGGAACAACAATCCAGATCCATTCCCAGAAAATAAGATCATTGAAGTTGGATCTTTTTAGAGGGAAAGTTTATTCCTCAGCAAGACTCCAATTAAGAATCACTATGTTGATGTCTACACTGCAGCCTCTACAGGTGTCCAGGCACAGAGAGGTATGCAAACCCTCCTATTTTTCACACTCAACCTCCTAAAGCATGCATTTTGGGGCAAGTAGATTCCAAGCTAGCCAGCTCATCTGAGAGGTGTAGGTATGTGTTTCGGTGAGCTGTGGCCCAGCCCCAAACCTATCCGCTTTGCAATGTGGCTGTAGCGAAGACACAGACACCTAGTCTCGAGTCTGAATAGCCCTTCATTCCCCTGATACTCTGTATCCATATCTTCTTCCCCTTCTATTAACTTCCTACTGCCCCAGTATGCCCCTGAAATTGCATGCTACAGCCTTCATCAGCTTAAAATATCCATAAATCAGGGAACAACTAATTGGCCAGAGAAGCAAACTAGGATTTTAATCAATACATGGCAAGATTATGGCCATGAGCATGATTTCGCTTGGAGCAGAAGGACTATACATCTGTATGCTTGTATATCCACGAGGCTGGTTAAGTTGGGCATTGGGCGTACTGCTGTTCTGCACAAGAGAGAGAATGAAACATTTGAAGCAATAATACTGGAAGGTCCAGGACACCAATACAAAGTCAGGAAACATGCCCCCCATGTGTCCTTTTTATTCACATCAAGAGGGCCCAATACCCATCACGTTTTGCAGAACCTGGTGGGCTCATTTTCATGCAGGATAGCAAGGGCGATGCT